CCAAAGAGTGAAGTTCGGACGGCTGCTCCCGTCCCTCCGGAGGGACCTGAGCATTTCTATATATATATATATATAGGGAACTCTTCCGGTAAGGTATACCTTACCGAAGGCACCGTGCGGCCTCCACGTTTTGAGGGCCTTCCTGATGGAATTTTTCGATGAAAGTTTTTGAGCATGTTCTTCATCAAGTCTAGTACATCTATACCAAATTTCAGCAAAAAATTCAATCGGGAAGGCAGTCAAATGATTTTTGGAAGATAACTGCACCCTTTATATACATATAAAATGCAGTTATCTTCCAAAAATCGTTTGACTGCCTTCCCGATTGAATTTTTTGCTGAAATTTGGTATGGATGTACTAGACTTGATGAATAACATGCTCAAAAAATTTCATCGAAAAATTCCACCAGGAAGGCCCTCAAAACGAGAAGGCCGCACGGAAGCTCCGGTAAGGTATACCTTACCGGAAGTTTTTCCTATATATATATATATATATATATATATATATATATATATATATAGGGTAGTGTTCTCCTAAGGTAGGCCTAAAATTTCAAGTTTTAGGCCTCTTTTATTTGAGGTGCTTCTGGGTCGATTTTGTTGATGAAATTTTGTGAGCATGTTCTCAATAAAGGGTAGACTATGCCTACCAAATTTCATTTAAAAATTTGATCCACAAGTCAGATAAATAAATTATTGAAAATTATGCAGTTATATACTACCTCCGTCCCACTATGTTTGGGACAAAGGAGTGTGGCACAAATTTTAAGAAAAAGTGGAATTGTGTGGTTGGTGTTGAATTGATAAAGTGTGAATAAAGTAAGAATGAATTGTAACCACCCAAATATTGCCAAATATAGTATGAGACAAACTTAATGGGACGGACGAAAAAGGTAAAACGGGACAAAGTTAGGAGGACGGAGGGAGTATATATATATAGAGAGAGAGAGAAAACTTCATGTCCAGCCTGACGGGAACCGCCGTCCGGCCGAGGACATTTCGGGCACTTTCCGATCAAATTTTTTAATGAAATTTTTTGAGCATGTTCTTCATCAAGTCTTGTTCATCCATACCAAATTTCATCTCAAAATTCGATCGGGAAGGCATTCAAATCATTTTTTGAAGTTGACTGCGTTTTTATATGTATATTTTGACGTAGTCAACTTCAAAAAATTATTTGAGATGAGCCAGTATGATGATAAGCAAAGTTCTTATCTGCGTATAAGGGTTTGTCTAGATGTCCGTAAGCCTTTGAAAAAAGGTAGTACCTTGACAAAAGATGGGGTGAAACATTGGGTGAATTTTAAATATGAAAAGCTTCCCACCTTTTGTTTTTTGTGTGGCATAATTGGACATTCTGATAAATTCTGTCCTTAGACGTATGAAGAAGGCTTTGTAGCTCAAAAAACTTATGGGGCGGGGCTTAGAGCAGGAGGAAGAGTGAAGACCAACCCTACAGGGCCTAACAAATGGTTATCAAAAAAAATGTGGGTATGGAATTCAGCGGAAGTCTGATCTCGGGGGAGACTCTTCGGCGGAATCCAAGACTATTGTGCCACCATAGCAAGTGACAGAAGACAAAGGAAGGAAACCCTGGTGATACGAAGCACAGAAGAATCTGGGATGATCAGTTCAGGCTAGGGAGGGTACAGTGGGGAAGGAATGGCTCTAGATGAGTCAAAAAAATGGGCAGGCGGTGGGTCAATCCTCTTAGACTCGCCGAGTTATCATTTGGTGGTGATGTTGAAGAAGACAAGTGATGATTTTATTTTTATTGTTTGTTTTTATTGCCTTTACTATGGTTGCTTTGGTATGTTTTTCTTTGGTATTTTTATTTCTTGTAAGATTCTTGCATTAGGTTTGGGGATATAGTTCTGCAGTAACCGTCATTGGCGTTAAGTTGCCCAATTTAGGGCGGATGGTTACATGTGGTTCTTTTCTGTCAGTGTACTCTTGCTGAATGCTAGCTATTTCTATGAATTAAGCCCTCTTCGAGCAAAAAAAAAAACGTACTAGTATGATTAATAAATAAATAAAGTAAAATAATTTAGATAGTAGATTTATTCCGTTTCGGGTTTAATTTTTGACCCACGCATCATAGTAAGGCCGAGAAGGACAAAGGTAAGACACCTTGAAAAGATTCGACTTTTTAAAATAAAATAAGATAACGGTGATTCTAAATTGTTTTATGTTTTAATGATGTTAAGATATACTCCGTACTAGTAATAAATAATTGATGGATCTAGAATATTACATACATACAGTTTGGCTACAACATATATAATTGATGTTTAACATATATATAATACTACCTCCGTTCTTAAATAAGTGCAACAGTCAGCTTTGCACAACTTTGACCATTAATATATATAACTCTCTATTAGTAAAAATATTAAAAAAATCAGATTTTGAAAATTTACAATGAGACAAATTTAGTAATATTTTTTTCAAAAATATATATATTAATACATCAATAAATAAAATGTAGTCAAAGTAGAACATGTGGCAATTGGAAGGGAGTGGGAATGGAAGAAGTTGGGAAGAAAGAGATGGGATGTGAGAATAGCAGCAGCATATATTATAGGGAAAATGGAAACTAATAATCCAACTTTTTAGCGGTTTTCTTTTAATAATCCCACCTTTTGATTATTCATGAATAATTCAACTTTTGCACCTCATCTTCATTCATTGGTCCCTGGTCGATTAATGACCTACTATTCCAAGTTATTTTCTTATCTTTCCAAAATATTATCTTTGTGAAAGATGAGATTTATGGTATAATGATTTGCAAAGATAAAAAAATAGCTTGGAATAGCAGGTCATCAACCGGTCAGGGACCAGTGAATGAAGATGAGGTGCAAAGGTTGGATTATTCATGAATAATCAAAAGATGGGATTATTGAAAGAAAACCGCTAAAAGGTTGGATTATTAGTTTCCATTTTCCATATATTATATTATATACCAACGTACCAGGCAGGAGTTTGCGTTTGTCGGCATAGTCGTGATACTTTTGAGGCTGAGGAATTGTTGGAGTGAGCATCATAAGCAGTGCGAAGCACAGAATTGCAACCCCCACTGCTGCCGCTCCCATCTGCCTTCTGCTTATCATCATTTTCGATCTTACTATTTGATTTGGAGATGATCGATTTTCTGCAGCCTTTAGTTCTTAATTTACTCGGCCGGGGAGCTTTCATATGTATACTATCTATATGCATAAGAAAGGAAAGAAATATGACTGACTTAGCTGCTGTCTATTATTAGAGCACCGAGACACGTGCTCCTTTGCAAATGCAATCACCATTTTGACCTGCCTTCCAGAAGCGGTGGAGAACATGCTAGTGTTATATATTCTAATACAACCAAATTTACAACGTACTATATTGTTATTAACAAGTGTTTGGATCTGCTTGTAAATTTTGAAACCCCACAAGTACCATGTGTTTCAAATTGCTCCTACAAGTAAATTTTAAAAGCTGGCTTTAGAAAAAGCACAAGCACAATTCCAATTTTCACACACTTTAAGCCGATTGCACTTGCCAAACACGGCTGGACCTTCCCCGCTTTTTACTAAATACAGGCCCTTATTGAATTAAATGGCTATTATCCCTATACTAAATACAGCCCCTGATGTTTGTGATGGCCGACCTTCAAGAACGACACCCGGGAACAGCCCCATGAAACAGATGTTACTTAAACAAGAAAGCTTTTGGCCTACCGCTGTGAATGAGAGGATGGAAGTGGGGTGATGATGATTAGTAAGAAAGGTGCGGCTATGATTACTGCTTGGAATCCCATAATTGTTTGTTGTAATCCCTTTTTTTAATAAAAAAAAATCCTCTATTAATTGTTTGGTGTGGCAAAATAGAAGTTTGCAAACCCTCTATTTCATTTTTCATACTCTAATGATGTGATATTTACTGTTGAATTAACCAAGAAATTGTGGCAGGGAAGGTTGATGTTGTTTGTTAGACTCGTGATCTCATCATCTATGCTGAAAGCGGCTCTGCTTCGGATACTCGCGAGAGCAAACGAGAAGAAAATTGAAGCTAAGCCTCTTGCATAGGCTTGTGCACAACTAACTCAAGAGAGTTCTTACGAGAAAACACATCACGTCTTCTTATTAATTGTATTCCTAAATTGAATTAGAGATCAGTCAAGATGTCCACTCAAATCTCAACCACAACGTTTACCTTTTTAACCACTTTATTAAAAATTATGCCAAAAGCAAAGAAGACACATAAAATGGGACGGAGGTAGTAATAATAATAATAATGGTGGTGGTGGTGGCGGTGGCGGCGGCGGGGGCGGGGGGCGGCGGCGGCGAGGAGGATGATGATGGTGGTGATGATGATAATAATAATGATAATAGCAGCAACAACAACAACAACAACAACAATAATAATAATAATATTTATAATTATAATTATAATAATTATTATTATTATAATAATAATAACAATAATAATAACAATAATAATAACAATAACAATAACAATAACAATAACAATAACAATAACAATAACAATAACAATAACAATAACAATAACAATAACAATAACAATAACAATAACAATAACAATAACAATAACAATAACAATAACAATAACAATAACAATAACAATAACAATAACAATAACAATAACAATAACAATAACAATAACAATAACAATAACAATAACAATAACAATAACAATAACAATAACAATAACAATAACAATAACAATAACAATAACAATAACAATAACAATAACAATAACAATAACAATAACAATAACAATAACAATAACAATAACAATAACAATAACAATAACAATAACAATAACAATAACAATAACAATAACAATAACAATAACAATAACAATAACAATAACAATAACAATAACAATAACAATAACAATAACAATAACAATAACAATAACAATAACAATAACAATAACAATAACAATAACAATAACAATAACAATAACAATAACAATAACAATAACAATAACAATAACAATAACAATAACAATAACAATAATAATAATAATAATAATAAGGGGTTATGTCTAAAATAATACTAAAAAAAGAGCTATTGACAAAAAAGAGATCTTTTTTTCTATTTTCCAAAAATGAGACTAAAAATGAGTTAGGAGACTATTATACCCTTATTTTATAACTAATCTAACTCTGTGTGGGGCAGAAGGATAAAATGCAGTCAAAGGAAACCATGAAAGAGGTAAAAAGGAAGCGAAAGTCACAACCTATTAAACCAAGAGTCCGTAGATCCCAAATTATAAGGTGATTATCTGTCCCGCCAGTCACCAATTTACAATTCCTTTTCAATAATGCATTTACTAAGGCTTGAGCGTTCTTCTTCACTAGTTGCATGTAAAGGTTGTATTCGGGAGTTGCTACTTGTTTTAATGCTACGGCAAGGGCAGCAATGTGGTTGTTGTGTGGCCCACCTTGCAATGCAGGGAAAACCGCAAAGTTTATCTTCTCCTCAAAATCATACTTCTCACAAACATCACTTTGATTCAGAACCATGCCTTTCTTCCTTGGTTTTGTCCCCTTCCTATAAAAGATAATGCCTCCTCTTGGACCTCGAAGACTCTTGTGGGTTGTGGCAGTAACTATATCACAATAATCGAAAGGGCTATCACAAACCTGCATAAGTACATTGTTCAGCCATCATTATTATAAAAAAAATCTTGTGCTAAAGGCTCGTTTGGTATGCAGAAAAGAATAAAGGAAGAAATTACTTGAAATACTCTCATTTTATGGGCATAAACTACTCACCGCCTGTTTAATATGATTGGAAGAACTGCAGAAGGATCAAATTCAAGAAAATATATGCATAAATTTCATAAAAGGATAAAAGAACGAGGAATTTTGATAATTTGATCAATAAGCACAGATGACTATGAACGGAGGCAGGAGATCATGATAATTAATGATTAAAAACAGGATTAGAAGGTATATGGAGACATGACAACCCACCTTTGCAGCAACCAGACCACTGATTTGAGCCATATCACACAGCAAAACTGCTCCACACTTATCAGCAACCTGTCTAAACCTTGCATAATCCCACTCCCGGGGATAAGAACTTCCCCCACATATAAGTATCTTAGGACGGAAATCAAGAGCCCTCTCCTCAAGCTTATTATAATCCACATATCCAGTTTGAGGATTGACCTTATAAGGAAAACTCTCAAAGAAAATTGAAGCCCCTGACACTTTCCTCCCATTCGGGAGATAGTACCCATGACTTGTGTTCCCGCCAGAAGGTGTATCCAAACCTATTATACGATCACCAGGCAATAACAAACCTGTATATACAGCAAAATTTGCAGATGTACATGAATACGGTTGAACATTCACACCCCAAATCTCAGAATTAAGTCCAAAAGCAACCAAAGCACGCTCACAACAAAGTGTCTCAATCTCATCAATGAACTGATTCCCGCCATAATACCTTGCTCCGGGCATTCCTTCTGAGTATTTATTCGTCAAATGGCTTCCTAATGCTTCCATTACTGCCTTACAAACGAAATTCTCTGAAGCAATTAGTTCAATCCCTTTGTATTGCCTCTCCTTTTCATTCTCCATTATCTGAAATAAATCAGGGTCTGCTGATTGAAGGCTTTGATTCCCCCAAGCAATGACGGAATTTCTGCGTGTTTCATGACTTTGTTGTTGTTTGCTAGAGATCGGGACCGTAAGACCACCTCTAGATGAAAAAGAATTTGATGAGGTTGAATCAGTATCTCTCTTCCGTTTCAAACTCATAGAATGTCCCAAAATCCGAATCTCACCGTCATCCATACTTCCTCCGGCGTCATTCTCCTTAACTTCCTTCGTTTGTTGCTCCATCAATTGAAGCGGCACAGACGGGAGCGGATTGGAATGGTCGCCGAAGCTTGAATCAATCTGGAAAGAGATTGAACCATCAGCCGATTGGGACCGGTTGGGCGGAGCAGGAGTCGACGAGTGGGATGAAAACCCTAACGACAGTTTACTTGACTGTGATTGAGGTAAATCCATATGAATCAAATCAATAACACCAAGGCAGAAAACTCACTCGATTGTATTCAACATTCAACCGTCAAGCTCCAATATTTTTCAACAGTAATAGCAGCTGCAACAACAGTAGACTTTGGCGGAGCAGCATTGGCTCCTGAATCTCATCGCAAAACAGTAAGATATCATGGGAACAATGACGATGACGATTCAAGTTCAATTTTTAGTTACTGAGTATTTTCTAAGGTGGCAACTATGGTACCTCTCAAAATCTTGAAGGTACGGTACCATATACAAATGGCCTAATTATATTATGACATGTGTCTTCAATTTACACGTAGTATAAGGTTTTATTTCTATTTACATTTACCCTAATTTGCCGGTAGGTCCCCAAATATCTCATAATTTATTGAATTGATTTAACGCCATCCTGTAGTTAGATTCCTCCTTAGCCTTTCCGTCCAGGTAAACTGTGATTATGCCATCGGTAAAGAAGAGCAAGTTATCATGCCTTTCAAACGTTGAGAGATGCCAAAGTAAGCTAGCATGTACTTCGAATGATGAGTAAAACTCGAAGACTTCATACCGTCATGGATATCGACAACTTTCCCAGCGTCCAGATCTCGAATTCCAGCATCTTTTCCAAGGAGAAAAGGTCCTCGCTTTAGTCGCTTACCATGACCCTCGCATCTACAAAGCTAAGAAAAGCCTCTCTTTCTTCATCACGATCCCATAAATTATCAACATACATAGATGATAATTTAACTTTAATTCTCTGCTGCAAAAAAAATTGAATGTTTGTGTGCGGATAATATTTTAATGTTTTTCATGAAAAGTGCTTTAATTTTTTTGAATTTCACTCTTATTCTTGGTAAGTATGTAGTTCCGTTTGTTTAGGGTGTAATTGAAATCCTAAAGGTTTTCATTCATAATATGAAATTCTATAGTTGCTCATTCATGATGTGAAATCCTAAAGCTGATTATTCATACTATGAATAGAGCATCATAGAAATGCACAAATATTGTAATGGAAACATTTTTCAGCCTCTCAGTCTGAAACTTGTGTTGAAACTGATGGGAGATTGTCTCGTTTGAGATTGTGAGTGTCACAGTGACATGGAGAAGTAATTTTGAAGCAATTGTCCTATTATTGTTAGTTTTCTATTAGAGATTATTAATTTAGTACTATTAGCATTTGATAATGTTTCTTTCTACTAGAAGTACTCTTATTATTATTATTATTTTCTTGTTCAGTTTGTGTCAGCTTCTTATTAGCTCTATTGGTGTTGTTTTCCTATTATGATTAGGACTCTTGTATATGTAATATCTATATAAAGGACCTTAGATTGCTAAACGACGCGGTGGAGGTTACTGAGTTTGAATACTTACAGCCCATTGAAATTGATGGGTTTAAAATTTGGAAATGTTATCTTTGTATGAATCATTGGACTAGGTCATTTAATTTGGTCTGTTAATAGTTGATCCCAATGCTCAGATCTTTTGGACTCTAAGATTAGTCAAGCAACAGGTCATCGTGATCCCTACGAGGCTAATATGACCTCATTCAGAATGTCCCTGAAACCTCCACTCTATTTCTCTTCTACATCCACCTCTAAGTGAATATTTGAGGTCCGTTGCTGGTATATATCAGCAACAAATTTATGAACTTGTGTTTCTTATTTTCTCCATGGGAATAATTTTCTGCACAAAGTGAAATAGCTTAGGGTATAACTGATGTCATTATAGTTCTTAGTGTCAAAAAACTATGAGTTGCTACTTCCTGGGAGCTGTGGTCTCTTAGGTCCAGTTTGATATCCAGTTTTAGCTTATTTGCCTTATTAATGAGCAGGATTAGTAGAATTAGTAGCTTTTCAACTTCTATTGGCTGAGGTGATTGCTATCAAACACTTTTCTTTTCAGAAACTTAGTAGATCGAGTCATTTCAGTCAAATAAACCTTATCAAACTGTCCTAAATTTAATCTACAAATCCAAAACAATGAATATGTTGACCCCCCTCTTACTAATGGTGAAGGAAATATTTCTTTTAGTTTCTATTACTTGAAATCTACCAACCAGCATTTGTATAGAATTACTCTTGTCTTGTTTTTTTTTGCGTGAAAGCCAGAGTCCCTAATAACATCATTAGAGGCGTAGTTCTGGTTGGTTAGTACTAGGGAGATTGTAATGAACCGATCAAACTGAAACTTTGTGAGTCAAGTGCACATGTGATAGCGCTGGGTTTCTACTATTCAGAGAAATTGGATAGTCATTTCTTTTGCTGTGAAAATTTACAGCATGGTTTGATATATTGTTAAATTTGGTGCTTTGGTTCTGCAATGACTAAAACAGTGTTTTATTCAAAGTTAATTGAATAAATAGTTAAATAACCCTTTTCGCTAGTTATCTTATTTCCTCTCGAACAACTCTGTGCCTCAAAATCCAACGTATATTTGGTCAAGAAAAAATTTCTGGTAATATTTAAAATCCTTCAAAAGTTGATCCCAGTTTAAAGTCAGTCTATATGGCTTTATGAAATAAGAACTTACACTTCCTTTTATCTATTCTCTGGTAGGTGAGCACATATAGACTTGCTGAACCTCAAATAAAGTTGAGAAGATGTAATAAGGTTCCTATTTCTAGAGCAATTGAATCTCTAACACCATGTTTCACTACTAGAAAAATGTCTTACAGTGACACCAAATTAGTGTCACTGAAAGCTTCTGTGACACTAAAAGAGTGTCGCTGAAGGTCGGGAATAGTGACACTAAAAAAGTGTCACTAAAAGTGTCACTAAATTGTGACACTGTTGTATCACCAAATGATGACACTACAGTATCACAAAACTCAATGACACTACGACATCACAAAACTCAATGACACTACGACATCACAAAACTCAATGACACTTCGGCATCGCAAAACTGAATGAAACTACGGTACCACAAAACTCAATGACACCGATCGTTTTATGAAAACATACAAATAATTTAATACGAATAAATAACCAAAATTTCAAACACTTTTATTTATATCTCAAAATTCTCACATTCAAAAGGGGCATAACCTTGTAACAAAAAAGTCTAGTACGAACAAAAGTCTTTCTAAAATAAAAGCACATGTGCCAAAAAACAAAAAAGGCTGAAACATCAACAATGGAGAACAGACGAGATGAACTTCTTAGTCATAGCACCATATCCATTCCATAAGGCAAGTTGAGTACTTCTGGGACAGTCACATTTTTTTGTACTCAGAATTCTCCTAACTCCTAGCTGCACCAAGACTTATATTGTATGCTAGAATTATGACCCATCTGGGAATCCCTGGGCCTGAAATGTGAAATGAAATCACATAGAAACGTCAACAAAACTGAGCACAATAGAAATTCAAAAACAAATGTTTGCTTGAAGAATCTGGAGAGGATGAATGTGAAATTGAATGAGAACATAGGAAAACATAAAATCAGTGTGCAGCACTAATAATCTCATGTGTGTGTGTGTGTTTTGGTAGTCACAAACATGTATTTCTAGAAACATTATCTCATGACAATAAATTTTGATGCTAATAAAAGTGGTAATAAATCTGCAAACAAAAACATGACACAAATACGTGAACTTCGTAATACCAAGAACAACAGCAATAATAATAATAATAATAATAATAATAATAATAACAACAACAACAACAACAACAACAACAACAACAACAACAACAACAACAACAACAACAACAACAACAACAACAACAAGAATACAGAGTATTACTATTATTACTATTATTGTGGAATTAAATCTCATCATTCTATCTTTTGAAGGTTGCAAGGTAAGCCACAAAGTATAAACATTTTACCATTTTTTTTCTTAAATGAATTTATAGTATTAACTAACTTCAGACAATAAATTACTATAAACTTCATTCCACCAACCTCATGTAGTTGTGGTGAAGGTGATGAGGATTTTGGTAATCATTGATCATAAATTTTAAATTCTGCACAGGCTTAACTCTGTTCAAGTGTCAAGCACTAAAATCTGGCAGTTTAAACTTCAATCTCCAGAGTAGAAATCAGTAAAAGTTTAAGCTAATAAGATTCAGTTTCCAGAAGCTGAAAGTTAAAACTAAAGTTTAAAATTAGTGAAACTTAAAGTTTAAGTTTTCAGAGTTTTAACTAGCTAATAGTGCAAACAAAAACTTCATGTGTTTCAGAAGTGTAAACTACCTGAAAGTGTACACTGAAACTCGAAAATAAAAAATTGAAACAACCCAGTTCAAACTTACAGCCGAACTTGAACTTTATTCAAGTTGAACAACTTGATTCAAACTTACAGTGGAACACGAGTTTTGAGTTCAAGTATTCATGTGTCAAGCATTAAAATAAAAAACTGAAAGTTTAAGCTTCAGCCTCCAGATATAGACTTATGTGATGTGATGATTTTAGAATAGGTGATGGGTCTATTTGACCTTTTCCCTTGATCTTTTTTAAAGGTGGCAGTTGGTTTTTGAACCTCTATGTAACCTATAAGTTAAACAAAGAAAAAAAATACATCCCCTAGGACCAAATGTCCTTACCTCAACTTGACTCTTCACCTCTCCAACAAAAGGAAACAAAAAATCAGTTAATGAAAGCAATTCTTGAAATCAGTTAATGGCCACTTTTAATTGCTTAAAAGTTAATGGCCACTTCTAATTGCTTAAAACCTAAAAATCAGTTAACTTTTTTTTATCAACAACCTCCTTGACTATGTCATCATATATATCCTCCACTTTTTGTTTTCTAAGCAAATGTATATCTTTTCGATCTATGTGTTTCATGTCAGTTCCAAGTTCTTTTATGCTATCAAGTTCTTATTAATGGGTAGTAGAGTGAACTTACAAAGCCTGCTTCCAATAGATTAATTTAATTACAGTCCTGCTTCCAATAGAATAATTTAATTGCAGTCCTGCTTCCAAACAGAATAAGACTTGCTAATGCGTATAACCTGAAAGGGAAAAATCATTTGTAAATAAAGGAGTAAAGGGTCAGTTTGGTCCTCGAAGTTGCAAAAAAAGGGTCAAATAAGTCCTTAAATAGAAGATTCTGTCCGGACGTGCCATTTGAGGTGTCTCCCGGTAGAATTTTTTGATGAAATTTTTTGAGCATCTTATTCATTAAGTCTAGTTTACTCATACCAAATTTCAGCTAAAAATTCAATCGGGAAGACATTCAAATGAATTCTTGAAGATAACTGCGCTTTTAACGGCACA